CTGTTTGGTGGAACTAAATTAGCTCCTACTTCAGAGTAGGGTCTAAAACAGTTCTATAGGAACTACCAGTGACGTACGTGTATGCTGATTGGCCAAACGCATACGAAACACTGGCTACCCAGCATTTTTTAAAAGCCGTGTCAAAATATTTTCTTCACAAACATTGAAAACAGTGATAACGGCCTGTTGTCTGCAGCGTTTTGTTCTTTTCTCAGCCTTGATGATAACACTGCAAGTTGTCATATGAAATTTAGTCAGATTTTCATGCTCTTTCAATCGCGTAAATTGTGCATTTACATGCCATTAGGGATGCACCGAATGTTCGGCAACCGAAATTGTTCGGCCAAAAATTTCAAAAGCAAAAAAAAAAGCTCGTTCGGTGTTCGGCCGAATAAGCGAAAAGACTAAATAAATTGTGCCGAACAATGATGTGACGCGATCAAATAGAGGTGCGCACTAATGCAGCAAACATGTCGGCAGTGTGGAAGCATTTAAATGTGCCCGAGAAAGATGCAAAAATCATTACAAGCACCGAACAGCGAGAGACTGCTTAGTGTTGCATCTCATGTCTCCGATGAAAAGAGGAAGGGGTGGTTGTTGCTGCTTACTGTATGATGATTGAAATCGCGAAATGGCCTTATACAATTAGTAAATAATTTGCAGAATGTTATGTTTTCTAATACATGCATGAATTGCATGCATTCAAACAGTGCTGCACGAGCTCGCGGCGTTATTTGCTAGCCAGGGTTCAAAATCCAAAGCACGAGGAAAATCTGTGCTGAAACAGTGATACTCGTCAGTTGCTCAGTAACATTTTTATGAATTTTTTAAAGGCATGTGACAATGCGATACCTGCGACAAACATAATTTATAAATCTGCCGTTGTCAACAAAAAGAAGCACTGAGGTCTTCCTGCGGGTTTCTGCCAAAATAAAAGCTGAGAAAAAGCAAGAACTCCATCAACATTAATAAATGTTAGTAATTTTTACTGTTGTTCTGTAAAATAAAATAAAAAAGTAAGACAATAATAATGATAATAATAATTACAACAACTCTATTAATACATTTATTATAACATTCACACATAGTGTTCAAATTGGGATCTGTAATCTTTTCTAATGTTTTAAAAGAATTCTCTTCTGCTCAGCAAGGCTGCATTCATTTGTACAGTACAAAAATACATGCCTGATTCAAGAAGGAGGTCTCAAAAATGGCCCAAAAATATTATTTTACTAACTTATTAATTTTAGGTTAAATTGTGCTTTGTTGGTATAATGTCTGCTAGAATGTTAAAAAATGTTCAATGTTAAGTAAATATTTTTTAATTGTTGTTTTGCTATTCATTTTTTCCTTTGAAAAGTAAGACAAAACCGTAAAAAGCACATTTTGGCTATTTAATGTATGCAATCGTGAAAAAAAATTGGTGAAATACATGCGGGAAAAAAACGCGAAAAACTGTGTTCGGTATTCAGTATTTTGTTCGGCTTCGGCCAAGAATTTTCATTTTGGTGCATCCCTATTCCATCTCTGTTATCACAAAACCCTTGACACATGACAAAAACAACTCCGATCACGACGTTCTTCAATCACCGGTTGTTGACGTTTGTAAATGAACACATCGTTGTCGGCTGCTTCAGAGAAATTGGTTCTCTAGGAACCACCATGCTGGCTAGTTCCAAGAACTATGCGGTGCGAAAGCGCCTTAGGTTCAATCTAGCTTTTTTGGAATAATAGTGATTACCAAAAAAAATTAATTGCACTTAAGCCTTATTATTTCATAAAGAAATCAATGTTAAGTAAATATTTTTTAATTGTTGTTTTGCTATTCATTTTTTCCTTTGAAAAGTAAGACAAAACCGTAAAAAGCACATTTTGGCTATTTAATGTATGCAATCGTGAAAAAAAATTGGTGAAATACATGCGGGAAAAAAACGCGAAAAACTGTGTTCGGTATTCAGTATTTTGTTCGGCTTCGGCCAAGAATTTTCATTTTGGTGCATCCCTATTCCATCTCTGTTATCACAAAACCCTTGACACATGACAAAAACAACTCCGATCACGACGTTCTTCAATCACCGGTTGTTGACGTTTGTAAATGAACACATCGTTGTCGGCTGCTTCAGAGAAATTGGTTCTCTAGGAACCACCATGCTGGCTAGTTCCAAGAACTATGCGGTGCGAAAGCACCTTAGGTTCAATCTAGCTTTTTTGGAATAATAGTGATTACCAAAAAAAATTAATTGCACTTAAGCCTTATTATTTCATAAAAAAATGGTTGCAGTACAATGACTACAATGGAAATTTGAAGAGAAGGATTCTCTTGAGGAAAACGGCATCTGCCCAACAACTGTCCAAATCATCACTGAGCCAACCAGTAAATCAATGTAAAACACATGGAGTGCAGGTGTATGTCTCTCAAACATTTTAGCTTCTGCTGTCTGATAAGAACCTGTCTGGAGTGTCTGGAGTGGAGTGTTTAAGTGGTTGTTCACTTAGCAGTGAAGTGGTGGTACTACACCAGATTCCTGGAGAAGATATGGATCTACTGTTTCCTCTCCTCATCCACTCACTCTCAACACTGCCATGTCCCTGCTCCAGAAATACTAAGCTGAGAGTTTATTGATATACAAGCCTGAAGGTTTTGCTTTTTTCTTATTTCACAGATAAACTTTAAGGAACCAAAAATGAAATTTCTGGCATTATTTACTCATCCTCGTGCCATTCCAAACCTGTATGACTTTCTTTTTTTCTGTGCAAAACAAAAGGTCACTCCATTTCGAATTTCCAAACAATTTAGACATGTAAATCACATGGACTTTCATGGTGTTTTTTGACATTTTGTGAAGCACATTTGGAGCATTATATACATGTACGTTTATAGAAGAAAACTAAAGAGTAAAGGCCAGAAATT